TCCCTCTGAAATGACATGTGTCACGAATTTGCTGAGCACAGTTCCTAAAACCCAAATAGAATGTCCGCTTAAACCATCCGTTATGACGTGGGTGGCCATTATTTCACATGAAGTGGTAAATAATGTCACTAATGTTGTGATAAAACAAGTTGCCATGACAATAGCATTCTGATGGTCTTGAAATGTATCATTATTACACTTTATCTCCGTTAGATAAACGATCGTAATAATAAAGCATGGCAAGTGCTTCATTGCACATACAGTGCAACTCTCATCCATTTCAGGAAAAACGTACAAGTGTTTGTATGGAAAATGTGTCCCCGATACATTATTGTGTTCATGGTAATCATTCTGTGCACGACATGGAAATGCCAATGTTTATACCTCGGTGCCATGCGGTTTGTTATCATGAAATGTGGCGATGGTGCGATAGAGACGACTGGTTTGCCAGCATCCGCATGATGTCGTTCTGGTGTTGTCTGAACAATTACATCTGTTTCTCTCGTCAAAATGGTCGACTATACGCCGCTGGAACTGTTTCCAGCCACATTAAAGAATTGTTGTAAATTACATCATTGTTTTAAATGCCAGATTGTGAAAACCGTTTCTCACAACATCAGGGGTGGAAATAAATTTAAAATTGCTAGTGTACTCCGGTACAGTGGCACATGTAAAATCACTTGCCCTGATAATTTTTCCACTATACCGGCCTATTTTCTTGTTGATTTCTTAAATAAACAGCATAATTAACATTGGAAAGTCAACTGGACACCGGTACAGCATGATACACAAATTTGCTTGCCCGATAGAAAAAACACTGGACTCGGACGTCAGGCAATGGGTTATTTCCACCCCTGAACATGTCCACATACATGACCTAATGTCATTGAAAGTGTCTCTCATAAAGAGGGAACTTATTTCAAACTAACCATGTCATCAGGCAATGTTCTCAGAAACTGCAATTGATTAATATTGGCAAAATATTAAGACAAGGAAACAACCATTAAAGTAGATTCTAGACACTTTTGGCATATTTGGACAAACATAAAAAGTACGAAGATGTTTTATCAAACAGACCAGAACTTATATACCTGGCTAGCTGTTCTCGAAACGTTCGTAGCCCTACGAACTTCTTAAGTCCATTCTTAACACATTGGGTAAAGTTAAGAACTCTTAGGGCTACAGACGTTTCGAGAATAAGGCCACAGGGTGTCATTGTACAAAGCTATCTTAAAGCTAAGGTGATCGTAACTCCCATACCTTGACATAGACTTACGACTGGCGTAGTGCTAATGTTGTTTTGCACAACGGCACCCAGCCTGACAAATAGTACCATCAAAAGCATGTCTTTAAAGACCTTCAGCACTATCAGCATTTTGTGTTTCAGAGAAGCCCAAATATGAGTAATGAAATGCTAATCATAGAAACACAGAGCGATCTTAATTAGAAATGTTGTGAATATTTCACATTACCACAACCAATATCTTGATCAAAATAACATTACCTATGAACGTATTTATTCAAGATCACTTCCTCACAGTTCGTATTGATCTCATTCTTGTAATCTAGTTTTAGAAGGGTCATCAGTCACTGAGACACGTACATGGAGACAGGGCCTGACATTTCGTTTCCTAATCAGGCACTGTCGGCCTATTCAAGATTAAATGACAGCATAATGGATTTGTGATGTAAGTAAAAGTAGATCCCCACGTGAAGCCAGACAGGTCGCAGATTTGTAAGACGAACAAGATAGTCTCTTCTCAGACTGCTTCTAATTCCTATCAATCTCAAGGTCTTATAAGAGACAACAGAACGCCTTGACAGCTATGATGAATTTGATATTAGTGGAATATGGTCACCCGGGAGTTTCCAGTGCACATTTTCTGAGAATGTACATAAGTATTCATTTATACATCAAACCATAAACACAAAATTCAACCAATTAGAGTTTCATTGCGTGTGATGAATAAGGATGTCCAAATAACGAAATCGGATATTTTCCATTACAATTGCAAATGTACACAGATCTGATTCTTTAAAAAATATTGTTTTGAACAGAATAAGTAATAGCATGTGCAAAAAAATTGTTTTAACCATCTCTCGTTATTGATCCCCATTGTCGTAAATGAAACAAGTGTCAAAATGTTCCTGTGGGACATTTCAATGGCAAGACTCCAATAGTCCAAAAGTCTGGAATGATATTGTTCAGATGAGCAATTCCAACAGATTCAATCAACGATAATACTCCTACCATCTCATATTAGATTTGGCCTCTTATATCTGGTGCCGCCATATACCTATGACGTCCCTTGGAACACTGCTTATAGTTTCAGAAGGGTGAATCTGGCTTCTGTCTGAGTAGGTCTTCATATGGAGTGGTAGATAATTGATATGCCAAGGTCTTCAAATATACACCAATGCAATTTACAGCAGCCTTTGTAGTGCCACTATATCACAGCCAATTATGGCGTTCTCGTGACGAAGAATGCATTTTCTGTTAAAACGCGTGATTTTGAAGGGAATGTCTTTGCAATTCGTATAAAGAGTGACATCTATCACTGAATTATGACAATAAAATCAGTCTTATAACCATTATAAACCATGGTATTTAATCTTATTTTGTGTCGGTGCAGGTGACGGATACTGCTCCATATCGTTATGGTATGGTGTGGAAATACAGCCTTAAGTCAGGGGTCGTAGTGAGTGAGTGAGGGTAGTTTTACGCCACGCTCAGCAATATTCCAGCTACATGGCGGCGCCAGTGGCCGTAAGTAGTGACACTGTGTAACTCTTTCAAACATATTTTCCCTTGGTGCGATCAAACACATGCACAAAGATGTTCATATACCTATTGCTTTATTGAAATCAGTTTTTTCACTCCTATGAATTACGCAGTGTGAACATCTGAAGGCATTTAGATTTTAATCAATGTTTTAATCAGCCAGTCATGGTCCCGGCGTTTGAATATGAGTGAGCAATGCACTCGAACGAGCAGATCTGACGATCATATCTCCAAAAGGAGAAACTACCAAGCTAGAATATATATACTCACGTACATAAGAAAGTACACACCCGGGGCCGTATTTATAATAATTCTTCGAGTGCTTAAGAATTCTTAACTATAGGAATTTTATAGAATTATTTAGGTTTCACGCTTAACTTTAAGAAATTTCTTAAGTTATATTTATAAAACATCTTATTCTTAGATTTACTCTCAAAGACACCAACCAGTTAGGAGTCCTCACATAGCACTCTCAGACACTTCAGAATTTTTCTTAACTCAACTATTCCCAATAAAACCATAAATATTTTGCTAGCAATGTTGTAATTTGGTACAATATCTGTGGTGTTTTGGAAACACAATGTTTGTGACAAGGCTGAATCAAAACACTTTTTAAATATTAATGCTGTTTTCACGAATATAAGTTCTCGATGTTGTGAATGTTTCAAGCATCCCGAGTGCTGCGACAAGTGCACTCAAAATGGGTTACATCAACTCTTGTTTTCGAGTTTTCATTAGCACAAACTGAATTTCGGAATCAGTATGATACAAAACTGAAGCCATTTTTTTTCTTTAATATAGTTGACAGCTGATCATATTAGATTTGGCCTCCTATATCTGGAGCCGCCATATACCTATGACGTTCTTTGAACACTGCTTATAGTTTCAGAAGGGTGAAGCAGGCTTCTGTCTGAGTAGGTCTTTTTATGGAGTGGTAGATAATTGCTTTGCCAAGGTCTTAAATATACACTACGAAGGAACAGATCCTTCTAACATATAGAGGTGGTCAACGTAAACTCAGTGTTGACAGATGTTAAACAGCGAGGTATGGAATCAGAGTAGAGATTGGCGTTTATTGGAGACGCAAAATGTCAGCTTCAGAGAATAATTAGACTCGAATGTCCGCCGTAACATATTCAAAAGGGCAAAACAGCGGCAATCACTATACGGTTCACATAAAATCAGTGATGGTACCTGGTGTTCGCGAGAGCGAAGGAAATCTTCATAAATTTGGCAGTTTAAGTCTGTGTCCCAACTAGGCCATCAACATGTATTGGCAAGGCGACTACCAGAATCGGTGGTCAGCCTCGGTGGGTCCATAGATTGAGTATCATGTCAACCCCGACGGATCAGATGATAACACCAGTCATTGAGATGTTTCATCCAGAGGCGTTTGTTGACACACACGACGTCGTCGCATGTCTAGAGCATCGTGCAATTGCACACATTATGTAACGCTTTTGCTTTATTTTAGAGCTGTGACGATATATCGTAGTATCGATAATCGTGATTCTTTTTCTGACGATAAATATAACGATATTTTTTCGCATCGTGATATGTATCGTTGACTTTAAAATTGTTAATTTTTAATAGAAATTGACGGTTAGGTCAAAATTTACGCTGTTACTTGCTATTAAAATATACGTTTTGAAAGAAAATAACTAAAGATAGCATATCGTGACGTGCATCGAATTGATTCGTATCGTTCCAAGATATTGTGATAAGTATCGTATAGTGAAGTTTCTGTATCGTCACACCTCTACTGTATTTCTTATTTCACTATTACAAGAAAAATACTTTACTACTAATGAAATAACGTAGTATATAAATCGTAATGTCAAACTCTAGAGAACATGATTTCCTTTGGGCAAAAGGCAAAATTCAGGTGAAAATTAAATAAACAGATCACCAAAAATACGCCATGACCTCAAACGACAGCAGAAACGGCAAGCATGTTTTGCCTTAACTGTAACATCCGACACTCATACAATTTGCAGAAAAAGTATGTCATGTGTTGTCAGATTAGACAATCAAGTGCTTGACTCGTCAGTCAAACAACCTAATATTGCATTTACCGAATCGGTTGAAGGTGAAAATGATGTTTTCATTCTGAAGTAGCGAATGACGTCCAAGAAATATGTTCGAGCTTTGAAACCTCTTTTTAGTTAGATTGATCAACATAATTGATAAATGGCCACAAAAAGAATGATATACTTACTCGAAGTAATGATCTTCGTGGGTGTCAAGGACGTAGATGGTCTTGGGGTCTCTGAAATAAGAGTAGACATTGAAGAACCAGTGTTCGTAGCGATAACAAGGACCGATTCTGGCACTCAAGTCTTAACGAAAACAATGGTGTATTTTACGAAGCATACCTGTTGCTTAACATCAAATGGTTCTGGCACACTTACTCACAAAAGAAACTTGCACAGTATCATATGCCAAGCATGCCATAAATTGGTTCAGTTGGACCTTCATCAGGTAACCATGACATATGTAATAATAATAATAATAATAAATGGATATTTCTTATGCGCCATAGTCCATCCAGAGCATGCTCAAAGCGCTACATATAAAAAGAGTCACTAGAGTCCAAGAGGAAGATATGACAATTCGTCAAAATGACCATGAGAATATTTCGCAGTTATAGGTTGTAGACTTTTTTGAAGAGGAAGGTTTTGAGTCCCGATTTGAATGCTTCTAAGGATGAAGCATTTTTTATGGGAGTAGGAAGACTGTTCCATAGGGTTGGTGCTGCAAATTTGAATGACCTATGGCCAAAGTGTTTCAGACGAACTTGGGGAACTGAGAGAAGATGTTGATTCTGGGAGCGGAGAGAACGGGCAGGCATATATGTATATATGTTTCTCCATGAATGATTCCAACAACAAGGTGTTAACGAAAGCACCTTATGCGTATAAACGAAACACATATGGTTTATATTTTGGGTGGATATAAATTCTTGTGTCTAGAACATATTAATTGACATACATAAAACATAATTTATTGTTTAACCAGTGTTTAATTATATTCATAAAAAGCGAACATTTTGCATGCATAAACATAAAATATTCAAGAAACAATGCGCTGATAAAATGGTTAATGTGGATATTGCACTTTAATAGCGATGAATTTGACAGCAAGTCTACCTACCGCCATCTTTAGCAACGAAATATTCTTGCCAATAAAAACGACAACAATAGATGAGAAACATATTCCTCTGTCTTGCAGGGATTTCTGTACATTCTTGTATATCTAATTCTACATCGTAAATAACAAATCGGTTCAAACTAGATCAAACGTGGGAGGTGTAAATACTAGATAATATACGAGCTGCATTGTACATCAACGCTTTACGAATAAGAACATTGTTCTTTGCTTTAATCTAAATATTATTTCACCGCATTGATCGTATCACATGATGTGAAATGAACTTGACGTGGTTTCAACTTGGCTAACAAAAACATGCCGAATAATGTGTTTTCTTTCATTTAGCATCAATAATAGCCTGCAGTGAAAGATGAATCCATATATAAATATGATTAATCTAAATCGAAAGGCAGTGGGTGGTCTACTGTATTAATCTCCTTCTTGCAGCTGCTTTCATACACAGTGGAAACACAGCATCTGACGACAGTGTCCATGATCAATGGAAACAATGTCGAATGAACGATTCATCACGTTCCAGAGACACGTTACTTCCCTGAACCACATAACATAAACAATGTAAATAGATGTTGTGTCAACCGAGGGTGTAAGTGATATACATATCATCTGTCTGAGAACAATATAACAAACAATGTAAATAGATGTTGTGTCAACCGAGGGTGTAAGTGATATAATATATTACTTAGAAGTACTTTCGCTATCCTATTGGTGGACTGGGAACAAAATCGTAAGTTTTTATGCCTTTCGAGAACCGAAGGCAGAGAAGAGAGATGGTCTTTGAATGTGTCATAAGGTATGTCATCATGAACTTATTGGAAGACTGTGTAGCTAATCAAGTCATCATCATCATCAGCAGCAGCAGCAGCAGCAGCATAATCATGATGATAATGATCATCATCAACACAACCACAATCACCATCGGGAATACTAATCTTTCAGTAACAAATTAAAGAAATATTAAAAACTAGTGACTGAGAGAATGAATGGATGAATAAATACATAGACAGTAATATCATTCATATTAATAGAAAGTTTATCAGGTGTGTAAACACGTGGCACGTTATATTTCATGATTATTCGTGGTGCAATATGTTATAGTCCTTTTGTCTCAAAAGGTTTGTGAGGTTTTGAAGATTTTTTGTCTTAAAAATAGAAAAGTTGTTTAACAAACTATCATCAAAATATTGACACAGTTCACTGTTTGTTACGGGGGAGGAGTGATCAGGAGTGATTATGATCAGCGTTTCATTGAGTATTTTATGTTTATTAGTTTTCGAGTTAGATTGTAATTCATCGGTCCGCTTTTGAGCCAAACGGACTATAAATGCCACTCCCTCAAACCAAAATGCCCTTTCATGCAAGTGTCCATATATGTTCATTTCTCCTTTTAGAGTTACTCATCGATCATGATTTCTAATGTCAAATTGTCTATTTGCTTTTCCAACCGAGGGAATACACTACAGGCATGTGTCATATGGCCTCCACTTTTCTTCTGAAAAGAACGATCTAAATGGCAGACACACCGGAACAGCTAATTTGGTCTCAGAATAGATAAGTGATGTTTCTCAGACGAAGCACTATTAGCTGGTCTTCCCTTAAAATGACACTCTGGAACTATATACATTATTTATGAGTACCACGACTCCTACAGATGAATTAGTCTGTTGGTGTCTGAAAACGATTTTCACAGGGTGAACGTAAAATACTTTCCACTTTCCACTTACAGACTGCACTGGGATAAAAAGACAACCAGGCAGCATATTTGTTTAGGCACAAATTTACGGGGTATTCTATGCTGATGGACAAAATTGACTACCCCGCTGTCATCAACAGAAAGGGATAACCCCAGCTACCACAAATGTCGACATGGTGTTCCTCCCTGTGCCATTGCTAAGAGATGGGAAGCTGAGTTCATGAGGGTAAGAGAAAGAGTCTCGAAGATGATAAAAAACCAAAAGACATTCAACTGCCATCACACAGGAAAATGTCGATAAAATACATGATATGATTGTGGATGAACGATGAAACACCACACGCAACCTATCCAGTAAAGTAGACATCTGTCATGAACGATCTGAGAGCATTCTGATGAACTTGGCATGACCAAATGTACAGTTCGTTGGGTTCCAAAGCTTCTGAGCTCCTGACTCCTGATGAGCAAGGCTTCAGGTTCATCATCTCCTTTGAAAATTTCTGCCCTTTCTCAGCAGATCCAGCTCATTTTGTTGAACGTCTTGATATTCAAATTGTAGCCTTGGAATTACCACTATCAACCACAGACCCAAACAACGCCCGAATCAGAGGTAACAGCAAACGTCTCCTCCGAGTAAGGCTGAATCTGTTTCATCAGCTGCAACATGATGGCTCCGGTTGTCTGGGATTCCAATGTAATCCTCCTTGCGAACTACTTTCAGAAAGGTCAGAGACCATTAATGTCCAATGTTATGCTAATCTGCTTAGGTAACTGCGTGAACCTAAGATGAACACCGTAGAAAACCGACTGAAGGTGTGGTTATCCACACACAACACGCCATGTTCTCATTTCGCCCTTGATGGCAATGTATGTCTGACCTTGGGCTTATTGCACAAAATCCGATCACCGGATTTGGCACAGTCAAGTTTCAGCTCTTCCTAAACTTGAAGAACGATCAGTCTGACAAGAATTATGCAAATGATGATGACGTCATTTCTACTAGGCAGCCTTCTTCACCAGTGAGATCCAGAAACATCACATCGTTAGCTGATGTGTTTGGAAGTCGACATTGTGTCCAAATCGTCAACATGTCGGCCTTGTATATTTGATAATAGAAGCGACAAAACCCTTTCCACATTCCTAAGAACATTGTACAAGCAGCATTGTAAGCAAATCGAGTCTGGACCAGACAATCCAGTGATTGTCACCATGCGATACGATGGCAGAGCATGTGTTTATGAATCACTATGAAATAGTGATGAAACCAGGTGTTCGCGAAAAGGTGAGCGTATCCTGCCCCACCGGTGGCACCCATCATATACATATGCTAAGTCTGGTCAATTGTTCACCTGAAATAATTCGGGAACGTATGGTATAAGTCGAAATAGGGACTTGCATCGGACACGTCTTCGGCGTGACGAGCGAACGCTTTAATCACTAGGCTACCCCACCGCCCCTCAAATTTGGAAATTTCCTCCAAATGTCTACCATAGAACTTCTTGAAAGCTTTATGTCGACGTTCAGAAGAAGAGATGACCAAAACCAATTCCATAGTTACATAATGAAAGAGGCATCTGTTGTATGATTACAATTATGCCATAAAAATGTATTTCTGAATAAACAACGAGCCACCGCATGGTGGGAATATCAATGAAAAGACCAAATGTTCACGGAAAGGTGAAACTATCCTGCCCAACAGGTTGTATCCATCATAAAGACATGCAAAACATCACAAAACATCAATGCCCCGGAAATGTAATATGAAATGATATTCGAAGTATATTGATCACAACAACATGGTATGTGGATGACTGTTTCTCCTCTGATTACTGAGTATCTGGCGATAGATTCGGTTTCTTCTGCATGTATCGCATTTTGGTACAGAACATTACGGAATAGCATGTGATGCGTTCATATCTCTGATCCACAGTATAGTTATGTAGCAAACATGTTTACATAATTAATATATCCGTTGTAATTGGTGCTGATGGCAATAAGCAGCACACAATGTTTATAATGATATCTATTAAAGTCAAATGAGAAACTCCTATTAAAGCCACAATGAGGTTGGAGTGTTATTTGCACTTTTTACAATTTCTTCTTGAAGAGGGCAAAAAAGATCTAACTATTATATCTTACCATTTTTATTGTACAAGAAAACCTTTCAAATAATATTTTATATATAACTCTCATAAATGACAAATGATGTAAAAGACAGATTTTCTATAGCTCTCATCGGATAAAAAGTTAAAACAAAACAGAGCCATTACAACATGAACAGAAACGTATCAATGTGTTCTCTCATAAATGAATGATGTTAAAGGCCGACTATATATAGTTCTCTTCGGACAAAAAGTTAAAACAAAACAGAGCCATTACAACATGAACAGAAACGTATCAGTTTGTTTTCTCATAAATGAATGATATTAAGACCGACTATATATAGCTCTCTTCGGATAAAACAAAACCGTGGCATTACTGAGGTGAGGTGAAATTGGGTTTAACGTCGTGCTTGAGAATATTTCGCTCATATGACGACGTACATGCGTGTGTATGTGTATGTGCGGCTGCTTGTACTAGCCCAGACTTAAGCTGGTTTTATAGTGCTAGCTCACTGAGATACCATGCCGCAGTGAAGCATGAATACCCCACTGAGACACATTATACTGACTCCGAGCCGACCAGTCCTTGTTGTACCCATTAATGCCAAGCACCAAGCAGGGACCAACAAGTACCATAATTTAACGTCTTTTGGTATGACGCGGTCGGGGATCCAACCCGTGACCTTCCGCTCTCCGGGCGGACGCTCTAACCACTACACCACGGAGGCGGCCGGCATTACTACGTAAACAGAAACGATTGCGTCTTCTCCAACGACATAAAGGTCTCGATATGAAAACACATTTCAAAACGATCTTTGTCGATCATTGTCATACGAATTGTGGTATTCCTATGTGTCAGTGTTGGCAACAATTTCAATGTAAAATATCGCCTGATCTGTCTCTGTATTGATGAACCCGAAATATCTGCTCTGATATAATAACGTCCAGTAAATGATCAAGATTAAATACATCCAATACGTCATGCTTTGCCATGGGTAGCAAACACATATTGATAAGCTCTGTCCAGAAACAACGCCACCCTATTTAAGACATATAATTCAGGACACTGTGTATTAATAAAGAATAAGAGGAAAGAAATAACTAAAAGGGGACACTAGACATGGGCCCGATACGAAAGGACTGATTTTGTCGAGTAAGTGAGAAACAAAGCCCTATGAACAAAATTCCAGTTGTACTACGGTGTGTCAGATTCAGGATGACAGAACGAGTAAAGTGAGACAAACCTGGTAACGCACAAAGCGATTCTAACCCAGCGACTGCCGGTAGCCGATGTTAAAGGAAAGGAGTTACTATCGCCTTAGCGCACAGATAGCTTTGGGCAACGGGACCCGGGTTCTACAGCTTTACGACGTTCATAAAATCCACAAAATCGGGCATGGTGCTGACCAACCAATAAATCATAATTATGCCAAATTTAGAATTCGAACCAACAAATACACGAGCTCCAAAGGGACACGACTCTGCAAAGCAAATTCACGATTCCTAGACTTCTATGCCATCTGTGCCCCTTCTTAGTGGCTTCCACTGATTCCATTTGCAATCACATTATCCGTGTGTTTGCTTTGGTTGGAAAATGAGACATGAATGAGTAAGTTGGGTTTTATGCCCTTTTAGCAATATTCCAGGAATATAATGGTTGGGGACACCAGAAATGGGCTCCCCACATTGTACCCATGTGGGGAATCGAACCCGGGTCTTCGGGCAAACACTTTAACCACAAGGCTACCCCACCGACCCTATTAAGATATGAATACCCCTTTGTTGAAGCTACACACTCACGGGAAGGACATGTTGGGCTTGATTGGGTTGCTCCACGGGAATGGCTGTTTGAAGGAGGAGAACATGAAGTACAGGCCGTAGCTCATCTCCAGCCCATGGGTCAAGCTCCGGATATACGTCATCAACAGCAGGGCAACGGCGACACCTGGTGGTACAAATTGTAAACATGTAACAAACTGGGACCACAACTCTTGAGTCTTGAAACAAATGGCAGTAGACCTATACTCACGTGATGTTCAATCGTAATGGCATTTCCTTAACTTATGAAAATACGAAACCTTTTTAACTGAAAATGTGTAGTGTTATGAATGAATGCGTATGGTTTTAAGTCGCTTTTAGCAATATCCCTGCAATATCACGGCGGGGGACACCAGGAATGGGCTTCACACATTGTACCCATGTGAGGAATCGAACCCGGGTCTTCCGCGTGACGAGCGAACGTTATAACCACTAGGCTACCCTACCATCCCCGTGTAGTGTTATGAAGTCGATCGTGCACGTTTACCTGACCGGCATCTTACTTTTGTGGTTTTGACTTATGTGAGAATCATGAACACGATAAAAGAGAGAAACAGTACGGCTACTTGAGATGAGAGACAAACGGATCATTGCTGAACATAATGAATGCAGATTGTCTTTAAATCCCCATCTCCTCCAATCATAAACAATACATGTACATAATTTTGTAGTTGATTAAGTAAATGATACTTCGCTATGTTGAAAATCGGGTACTTCAGTCTACCACCAGGAACATCGACCCATTTGAAGTAAATATAAATTGGTAGTGCAAGAAAATACCCAGCCTTGACTGTCGTCGAAAAATGTAACATACACACAGCTGATAGACATTACCTTTAACCAAGACATTTGGTTCCACTTACTACAGTTAAGGGAGCACACAGACTCGTCGTGTCTGTTACTCGAAAACACGAACTTCACCGAGAGTTATGTAAACAGAACATAAACACATTGGAAAATGAATATCGAAATACTCTACACACACACAGACAGACACAGACACAGACACACACACACACACACACACACACACACACACACACACACACACACACACACACCCACCCACACACACCCCTCAAACCCACCCACGAACGCACGCACGCACTCATTCTAATTCGTTATAACCATAAATCAGTATATGCATTTCGACTAAAACATAAGTGGCAGGGGCAAAAGCACCAGTTCGTTATACCCGTCAGTTCGTTATAATTGTGTTCGTTGTAAATAAAGGTCACTGTATGTTAAAGTTATAATATAACAGGTGAAATGGTGGATTGTTTGTCCCAGCCACTTGTTGTAAGACGAACTACGGTTATAACGAACTACAATTAGTGGTCTGTGAGTTCACTGTACCATCTTTTGACGTATTGTGGCATGACGTGGTCATTGTGCTGTTGTACAGAACAACCTTAGCGTTAAGACTACCTTTTAAGTCTATGTTAAGGTAAGGGAGTTACGGTCACCTTAGCGCTAAGATCGCTTTGTACAACAGGTATCTAACTACCATTACAAAGGCTCACCTTTAAGAATTGGTACGAGGTGACTGAAGATCCCGAGCATGCCTCGCTTGTAGAGAGCGCCGAGCTTCAGTTGTACATAGCAGACTGGGACACAGACCAGGATTCCCAGCAGATAGTAGGCCACCAGGAACAGACCTGTAACACAAGAAGCACAGTTTGTTTATTTCTTTGTTTGTTGTTTACGTCGCACTCAGCAATATTCAAGCTGTGTGTCAGCGGTCTGTAAATAATCGAATCTGGACCAGACAATCCAATGAGCACGCAATTGCAATACGATGACATATGTCAACCAAGTCAGCGAGCCTGACCACCCGTTTGTAGCCTTTTTCGACAAGACCAATTCTAAACCGGATTTTCACGGGTAGCAATGTTAAGTACAATTAAAACGTAAATAATGATTATTGAATATTGCCAAACATATTCGGCTTATATGGTAAAACTGTGATAAAATGTACGTGACGAGCTCACTGAAAATCAATGATAACAGTAGATGTTCACTGAAAGGGCTAGCGTGTCACGCTCTACATGCTCACGAGATTTACATTGAAACCCAGGTTAACCCAAGCTGCCTCAGGTGCGAGAAGGTTAACAGTCATATGGTCATTTAAGCCCACCGGGTACCCATCCACTGCTAGGTGAACACTGGTAAGTGAGGAAATGGCGTCGAAAAACAAAACCATTATGATCATTGTGAAACGGTGAAAAGGTGAAACCCTAACCACGCAAGAACATTATTTCATTTTTAAATCACAAAATATAATAGAAAAAAAGTCAACGTATCTGTCCCTGCTAATGGCCATTTTAAAATACATTAAGCATTGTGTCTTGTGGTAAATATATGTTTTTCGCGATCTTGTTGCTAAAAGAGCATTTTGAAAAAAAGGTCGACCTTCTGACATACGACTTCCATGGTTGTTCCAAACTGTCTGGGTCATATCGGAAGAAGAATCACATGGATAAGTCATGGAAATATACCCATCTCATATTCCCAAACTGACATGTCTATCCTACACATCAAAGAAAGGCCAATGCGTTGGCTTAATGTCATGCCATTACCAATACAGTTTTCGACTTGACGTTTCAGAACAACAAATTAACCATAGTTTCATTGAAACAACCAGAATCACGTAATTACTGGATTACTATTTTGAGGAAAACCTTTTGGGAACAAAGATTTTGGAATAAAAATAAACAACACTCGTTTGTCAATTTCAATCCAAATTTTCATCTACGGCCCGACTGCAGAAAGCCTCAGGATCAATTTCTTCTCGCAGTATTCAAATATTGAGACAAGGAATATAAGAAGGAAAGCTTGGAGCAAAAGGCCTGAAGTTGTCTCTTAAATTAGGAAGCCGCAGTTAGGTGACTGAGTGTATTCGGTGTTCGATCATACCTTCTGCACAAGTTAATCACTTGGAGTTCTCCAGTCTGATTGATCGTGAATCCATCATTTGTCTGCAAACCCATTCTACATTTTTTCGATCCAATCCATCAGACACCCAACTGACAATTCCACCGCATTACCTTTCACTTACTGACCCAGACACCGATTTTTAGGTCTATCTACTGCTCAGTCATCTTTGATATAACCTTATCCATCCATCACCTGATAATTTCAAATCCATGTTTCCATCATCTAGCCATTCTTTCTACGTTAATATTCATCCATCTATATATACATCTATCATCCAGCTTCCCCGCGGTGTTCTAACACATGGACATATCTATCTGTGAAGCGAGCATCTTTTCCTATACATATTTCTACCAAAATTCCCTATACATCCCTAACTTCCATGCTTCAGCATCAATCCTTATCTATTCACCTTCACTCTATCATCTGTTTTGCTGTCTTTCTAGCATCCCTTTTCTATCCATCATAACATGGATCTAGTATGCATTGTTCTATCCATCATGCATGTGACTATCCACCAACTATCCCTTTTCTACCATCTATTCATGAGTCTTTCTTTACATATTCCAACCTTCGTATCTACCAGCCGTCATAATTTCAATCTACAAACCCATCCTATCTATGCGACTATTCATCCAACTATTCGGTTCAGCTATCAATCAATCATCCAACGGCGTTTTCAGAAAATACTGATTATCTACAATACCAACTGCGGCAAAAACTAATCGAAGATCTCCTGATCCATTCATCTTATTGACATCTGCACTGAGGCAGAAGATCACCAGTCATCACCTCTGTCGACCGACTGGAGATGCTGGGATATAAACCCTCATCTTAACGAGTCGCTGAAGCCGATACACTGATGTTTTGACAGATCAGTAACCAACTACTTTACCACTCCATAGACCTTTAAACACGTTACAGCTTCGCCAACAGGCATATATGATATCATGACAGAGGCTGAAGAAGCTTCACCGGGGTTTTCTATGGAGATCAATGTATGATCTTCGTCATTCTAAAATACCCCTGCGGCGTAGTCTTGTTACAAACAGCACAAGTCACCATTAGAAAATTGAAAATCGTAAGTAGAGACTAGGACGGACCTCCAACATAACGACTGATTAAAAAGAAGCTTGAAAATCCAAGTAAAAAATGTCTGAACTTTTCTGGTACCCTTTGTTGTCCTGAAATCCAGATCTGGTTCTGATCCTAAGTATATATCTTACATTTATTCTGAAATGGAGTAGTTTGACATTTTCTGTTGATGAGATCATAGACGGTAGTTCGTTTGATGGATATATTTCAGATTTTTGTTATAAAATGCCAATGCGCAGTGATAGAATCAAATATTTAATGATCTATGTATACTTTGGTTGCAAAGGACGACTATCGGGTGTTTGTCCAATAGCCATGTACATATACATAATCAAACCAATTCCATTCCGAAAGAACGTTACAACAGATTCTACTGCCAACTGCACACGGAACACTTATGAGTGAGTTTGCTTTACGTCACATCAGCAATTTTGCAGCTATTCGCGGCGAGAAATGTCTTTTGTATTACAATAACGGAACACTTATGAAAGAACATTTTATACTTATGATATACGCTAGGGAACATGTTTAAAATGTCACTCTACACCTGGGAAGACGGCGAATGCATGATAGACTTAAAATAATACAGCGTCAGAGATCTACAATCATAAGGATAATAGATACACTGTCTGTATGTAAGAGCTGTTACAAGAAGGTGAAGGTCACCTGAAGTCAAACTATTTCTCATCGGAGATGTCTAGATGCAAAAGATATCTAATTAAGACATTATGGGAAGAGTACACATAGCCTTGAAGTTCATGTGACAACGGAAAACAGTATATTAACTACAGCGTGTTGATGGAATAATCTGCGTTAAAAGGAAACCGAGCTGGACAAAGTACATCTCCCTGATAAGGTCCAATGGCGTTGTTTTTGCCATTACAACCATTTCCACGCTCATATCTCTGATGGACATTATGGTATGCCATTCAGTATCAGATGACACACAAATATAGACCCTTTCAGAACCCAATTCAGCATATGTTAGAGTGAGTGTGTCAGTTGGGTTTTAGACCGCTTTTAGCAATATTCCAGCGCTATTACGGAGGGGGACACCAGAGTGTTCAGTCCAATAAGCAAGTACTTATCAGGAATAATGGACAAAGGTCCAGTGGCTGGACATTCATCGTGGATAATGGAGCGGTGGGTGTCATGTGGAATACACAAATGGCACATCAGAGTGGATGGGTTTTACCGTGGCTGAGATCCTGGTAATGGAATTGTAGCTCTTGCTGTGGGGTGTGGAGAAGTAGGTGAGGTTGAGGCGAGAATGTATTTACAACGTCGACGACTGGCTACCGACAGCTGCCTGTATTCAGTGAGTGAGTGAGTGTTGTTTTAGACCGCTTTCAGCAATATTCCAGCTCTATCACGGCGGGGGACACCAGAAATGGGCTTCACACATGGTACCTATATGGGGAATCGACCCCGCGTCTTCGGCGTGAGGAGCGAACGCTTTAACCACTAGGCTACTCCACCGCCCCTGATTAGTGAGACAACACGATTCTGAACCAACAAAACCATAACACTATTCCGAACCTTAAAAAAATGCATTCCTTAACTAGCCATTTTCAGCAAATTCACCAGACGAGCTAAAACGCGAAGTGACGGGTCGAACAAGTATTCCATGCTGCACAGATTATGCTTAGAATCATCTGCAGGCGCTGGAAGCCTGTTAAGGCCCATCACATCAGCCTCCAAGAGCGTCTTTCAGGGGATCCCTTGCCATATCGCCCCTAGCGGAATAAAATCGATCGATTTCTGTCACACAAAACAGTTGACAAATTGTTTCGTGGCGTGATTCCATAGATTTTTTCAGATTAGCGTAAATAGGCGCACAAGTGTTTTTCTTATCTGAAATTCCCGTTGCCATAGGAACGGAACTATATCATTGTATCGACAGGATACTGTTTTAATCAGTATTTTTTATTTGCTAGGGAAATGCATCTGCTGCTTGGGATAAACCAGAACTCTGAATGCATTGCGAGGGCTTTTTGGTTTGATTGACAACGGAATATTTCTCAGAGTGTGGAGATATCCGGGTTGAAATAGAAAAGAAGGTTCTTCAGATAAAAGCATTAGGGAAGGTGATTCGATTTAAAATCACACGAAAAGTTTAAAGACCATTAGTGAGATAATTTGGGAATTTATTTCGTTCGATTGTTTGGTTTGAGTGAGTGAGTGTGAGTTTAGTTTTATGCCGCTTTTAGCAATATTCCAGCAATATCGGGTCGGGGAACATCAGAAATGGGTTTCACACATTGTGCCCATGTGGGGAATCGAACCCGGTTCTTCAGCGTGACGAGCGAACGCCTAAACCACTAGGCTACCCCACTGCCCCGTTTAGTTTGTGTATCAGCAATAAAGCGACAGAAAGGAAATCGATAAATCGATCGTACGGTAAAGTTTACTATATGTATAACATAATATATACGTTGAATATTGAAGTTTGTAATCATTAATGACTTCTTTTATGCGTTTTCATGTAACGAGTTGAACATAAGCCGCTCGGACGAAGATTTCATGTATAATCGCTTCAGATGAAACAACCATCATTTTCAGATAAATATTTTGGTATTTTAAAAAATATTTTTCAATCAAACATGTGTAAATTAATAACCCATGCAGA